GTAACGTAACAGAATACGTTACAGAATACATTTTGGGGCATGTATTCTGTAATCTGTAATGGAATACATTTTAAAAGTAACCTTCCCAACACTGACAACTGATGCACTAAAGGGTCAACAATGAGACAATCCCCAAACTGGAATGGGTTTACAGTTGGACAGTTTTCCCTCATCATTGTTTCTGACTGGATATGCAAAGAGGAACAGGATGGACATTGTAGTGCCCTCCAACACACCACTGGTGTGAATGTCTCTAACCAAACAATCAGAGACTGACTTCATTAGGGTGGGCTGAGGACCCAGGCTCCTCTAGTATAGGTCCTGTATATTTGGTATTTGCACCCTGTGATTTTCAGGGTCTGGAAAAGCTGTGGGGAACATTATCCTGTCTGTAACATTGGCCACCATGAGCAGTCTGGTGGTGAGTCTTTGATGGCCTGTGAAGGCTTAACCATGCATGGACACAGAGACCTCCACAGACTAGGCAATGGCACCCTGGCTGCCATTAGGTATCAGTATGAAATCCTTGGACTCATTGTTGGACCCCGCAGTGGTACAATTGGTCAATTTAACTGACATCCCGTGATCTCTGCTTGCCACATCACTACTACTGTCTTGCCTCTTTAATGTGGTTGTCTAAGGGACAGAGCTCGGTGGCTGTAAGAGGGCAATGTGACTTACCTTTCTCCAAACCGCATGTCGAGGTGTCCTTGGTGAATATGGCTTTTAGTATAGAAGCACTTTGAGTGCTCAGTAAGAGCAGAAAATTGCTGCATAAATACCTGTGATTTGCTATTTGCCACACCACTCTGGCTGAGCACTGTAGCCCCACCCACATGCTCTTCAAAACCTTTTGTTTTAGAGGGACAACCATGCATGATATTTTTGATTTCACTGTAAGAATAAAAACACCCCAAAAATTTATGATTACGAATATATAGATTACTGGAGTCAACCATTTTTATTTGGTTTGATGAATCAATTCCAGTAATGGAGTAAAGTTTTTTATAACTGTATCTGTTGATTATTATGATACTCTTCTGTCCTCTCTGACCAGAGTAATAGGATCATAATGTCCCAGCACATCTCTAATATAGACTTTTTCCCCCTCATTCAGAAGTTGTTTTCATTCACACACACCTAAAGTTATCCGGGTTATATGTCTATATGGGCTGCTGATGGATGATGGGAGAGCTGATTACAAATGGTTTAAGAAAAATAAAAATAAAGGTTTTCTTTTTCTTTTTTTTTCTTCTTGGATTACCCGACAGCAAACCGGCTGTAATAGATCTGCACGGCCTTGATAAAGTAGTTCATCAAAATTGACTTGGCTGCTTGGCTCGGTTTCCTCGATGATAGGAAATTTATTATAAATCAAATTGTAATATTCATTGAAATACATTTTTTGCAAATTGAGACCAGAAAAAAAGGCTCAGTCCAAATTGACATTCAATACTATAGCGGACAATCAAGTAAAAGAAAATGTGCCCTCTTTTAATTGGAGGTTTTATGCATCATCATCATATAATAAAAAGATGATCTGGTCCTTTGCAGGTCTTAAGATGTGGTAAATACAACCTCAACAACATGTTAAACTGACCCATTATTTATTCATGGAAAACTAAGCCTAAACATATCCTCAAACCCTCTTGTTGAATAATAATTGCTGTAATATTCAGTTTCACTCTCACTAAATAACTAGTACTTCTAGTTTCTTCAGGATTTATACGAATGTTTGTCAATATCATTCATCTAAAAAAGTCATGTTTTCTACTAAGTTTAGCCTTCACATAAAGTGAAGTCAGAGTTTGGTATCAGGGAGTTTCATAATATAATAATAATTAAATGAAAAGTAATTAATAATAAACAATCCAGCGGGAATACAGTTTGGGTTACAGACTCAGAGTGTGGTTTATTGCTGCTCTTTTAGAAATGGTATGTTTGCCACTGCATCTCCGTCATGCATGTCATGCAACGCCATGACATGCATGACGGACATCATGGCATCAACCCACTGCAAGCGTTCCTTTTTTGACTGCAGCTGAGAGAGATTTACTTCTCACAAGCAAACCCACAACGTCAGACTGAGCTGTTCACACAGTGAAACTGTCGTGGAGTCAGCGTTCTGGAGACTGGTGATTCTTTATTTAATTGTCTGCTCTTGATGCAGCATCTGCCTTCTCTGCTTTCACAGCATTTGAGCTAATGTTGGCTCCTCGGTGACACTGTGCCCACCGCTTTGTTCATTTGTCATTGTTTTAGATCCATGCTATTTTTTTATATAAACATTATTAGATTTAGTTCTGCATTTATCTGTGACATTTGTCATAAATGTAATATTTAAGTTTAATGATGAATTTCTATAGATATTGCAGTCCTAAGCCCTGCTTTGCTTTGGATTTGTCGTTGAACCAGACATGAGAGCCTATCAAGCAGCCATCTTTACCATTCATCATACAAAAATGCATTACACAGTCATTGAGCATGATGCTCAGCTGGTACAGAACAGCCCTTACATCCGTTATTCCATCCAGTACTACTAAACTTGGCACAAAGCCTAATCTCCTGACAGCAGCCAGACACTGAGTGACAAATGGAGGGGAGGGAATGAAAAGTGATGGAACAGCCGTGAGTTTTTTGAAAGCATTTTTAACATTTAATGCCTTCAGATGACAAGACTATTTATTCCTCATCTGCTGCTGTCAGTCAGCGCAGCATGTCTCGAGTAAACAAATGGGTCTGAGGGACACCTGTGTGGACCTCGGCACTTTCAAATGATGTACTGTAGCTGACTGTCAAAGACATCTTCAAGGGTGAACGAGGCTTACTTGATTCAGTTTGTCAGTGCTTAATGATGTTTGGAGAAACAGCGACAGCATCAAAATGTTTTTTTTGATGGCACGTGGTCCTGCTGTTTTACAGGGAAATGGACACGAGCGCGACTTCCTGGACGACAGGCGAGTGTTCATCATGGATATGTATAATCGCTACATTTATCCTGGAGACGAATATGCCAAAAGTGAGTGAAAAGCACAGTCGATTTTCCTCTCAAACTGCCTCTTTTGACCTTTCAATTCATAACAATTTTGAAATAATTTGTACCTTCAAACAGGTTTATGCCGTTCACATGTTCTGTAGGACTTAAATGCACGAGAAAAACAAACCCAACACTTCTCCAAATACCCCATCAAGGTTGAGGTAGTAGCAGTGGTTAGTTGCCTTCCCCCACTCCCATCCCTTAGATGTCACTGTGTTTTAATTATGCTGTGATTTCCCCGAGCACTACAACTCACTCCGTTAGCACTCAGTGGGAAATCTAGCACGCAGCGTCCCTGCAACACCACAATCATGGCTTCTGCACAAATTAATCTGTCAATACATTGAAGCTCCTCTGACAGCGACCACATTCCACTGTGTAGCCCCGATTCTAACAATACTCTGCAGAGCAAATGTCGCAGTCTGCCTTAAAGAAATTCTCTCCGTCCTCCATCCAGTTATCTTGCTTTGCACAATTAATTGAATTTAAGACATTTTATAATTGTCTGTCCCCTTAAGAGAGTAAAATAAATGTATATTCTGGCTTGTTTAAGATAAAAAAAACTGCAGTCGTATTCTTTTTCATATTTTTTCTCTGAGACACATTTATTTCTCTGTACCTTTAGAGCCCAAGCTTATGTTTTTTTTTTCTTGAAAGTCTTGTAAAAACTACCAAGAACTTTTTGCTTGACTTTAATGTGCCGTTGCACTGGCTCGTCCTGCTTTTACAGCCTTATTCTGTTTAAAAACATTAAGGTTTTCTAATTAACCTTTTTCAAGTTTAATTAGTATAAATGGAGTTAAAGCACTTCTGCAGAATTGTAAAATTTTAGAATGAAGAAATCCAGTTACCTACATTGATATTCTATTAAAAATCAATGTTGTTTTAGTTTGATTTGTTAATCATGTTAGAAACAGAGTATTACTAAAGAAAGTCAATAAAATATACATGGAAAGGTCTCATAAACAAAAGTCGGAGGAGCTAAATCACACACTGGTCCGGCATCCTTACTTGATACTTGTTATAAATGATCTCCATCTTCTCCAGTGTCCGTCATACACAAATACAGGTAAAGGGAACAATATTGACCACATTGTTACAGTTTAATGTATTGCTGGTTAAACATGTGATTGATGTGGGCGCTGCTTTTACATGTCACATCCACTGTGTTGAAGATCAGACACGTAACATCCAGCATCCTTGTTATAGAAGTTTGGTTACCGTATTTCCCGGACTACAAAGCGCACCTGAATATTAGCCGCACAAGCTAAAATCAGGGGAAAATCCTGTTTTGTACATACATTAGCCGCACCTGACTAAAAGCCGCAGGTGTTTCAATGTTGACTTATATGTAAGAGAATATGCACAAAGGGAATTGTCAGGAAAGAGATGGCTGTTTGGAGACACACCCCTTTTATTAATGTTTTGAAAAACAAGTTATGGGTACAAATTTGCATAACTTTTTAGGTATATGTACAAGTACCGGTAAATACAAGTACGAAACATGTACTGTGCTTCATAAACGAGTAACAAATGTAGTACATAACAATAACCTACAGCAGGCCAGAAAAATAAATTCGGACTACCTTTTAGGCTCAGGTGCAGTGACACGGCTTTAACAAGAAGAAAAGTCAGTCATTCACCATCTTTCTCTTCTTCCTGCGCACTAAAACCACCAAAGTCCTCTTCTCCAGTGTCGGATAAGAACAGGCTCAGGATGGCTTCGTCATCTACTCTCCGCTTCTCTCCTTCACTTTCAAAACCAAACAAATCCTCGTTGTCAGTGTCAGAGTCGAACACCCTCAGAAGGGCCGTGCTGCTCTCCATCATGCAGCAGTCCAGCCCTTCAAAATCCGTTGGTGATCATGGATGTTTTCACACTTTTCCACGCTGTCAGAATCCACCGGTGGAGTTGAGCATAACTTGCTTTCAGCAAGTTTATCGCCGCTCGTCATCCACGCCTCCCGCTGAACGCGTAGCGCTACTTTGAAGTTTGTTTTTCGCGCTACTTCGTACGGCACTATGTTGCCTGGCGGATGGACATGTGACCAACATACCACTCTTGAACCCCGATACTGTGTGTCTGATCACATGCCCTTCCGCCAGGCAACGTAGTGCCGTACAACAAACAAAACAAATCGTCTTACGATATGACAAAAATCATGGACAATCCTTAGAAAAGCCGCACCTGACTAAAAGCCGCAGGGTTCAAAGCTTGTGCAAAAAGTAGCGGCTTATAGCCCGACAATTACAGTAGTTTATTTATTTTTTTAAACTAGGGATGCTGAAGACGTATTTTAAGTTGTTTTTACACCTAAAGCCACTTTCACCTACTGACACAGCGCTATATTCAATCAGTGATAATTTTGTCAACTTTTTCATTAATTTTCATTAGTTTTCGTTGGCGACAAGAACGAATGCTTGAGGAAAAACACTATGATAAAATGTATTGACACTTTCGTCGATGAATTAAATGCTCCCATTAAAACACAACGTAATGTGAATTCTTGGGAGGAAGAGAAGAGCAGACACATTTCGTGTTTGATGTTAAGGAAAATAATATTTTTGCAAACAATGTGGAGAAATTCTCACCGGTAAAACATTTTAGTCAAAGGAATCTACTTCAGATTTTATCTGTGATAATCTTATATTTTATCAACTGAAACTAAACGAAAATAAATCTGATGGCTAAATTATGACTAAAACTAAAGCAACATTTGCTGTAAAAATGAACACTGTATTCAGTACACTTTAAAGGTGCAATATGTAAGATTAATGTTCACAAGTGTAACTTTAGGTGTCTAACTCTGAAATAAGAAACAAAGAATTACAAGGAATTAGAAGCTTTATTAATGGGAACATTAATAAAACGTGGTCATATGCAGTGGTACAGACCAGGCATGCAACATGAATACACAGGTGTCTAAACTGACAGCTGTTATTTTAGATTCTGCTAATAGTCTTAGCTAGCTCATAGTTTTCCAATGAACAGCAGCTCTCTGACTGAAAATGGCAACAGTAACTCAAATAAACACATTATAACCATGGGAACAAACTGAACTTTGAAGCACCAAGAACAAGAAACTCAGGTTACACAGACTCACTAAAATAGGACGGCATAAGGCTGTAACAATGTTGCCTGATCAGTGTTGATTTCAACATTTGAAAGGTAGGGTCAGGATTTGGTGTAAAATATATTAAGATATTTTCTTGGCACATATTGGACCACTTAGTACCCGGTGAGCATGATTTAAACACAACATATATGTAGTAATGTATGACCAGAGTGTAGCCATCTTTTTATGGATGCTTCCACAGGAAGCAGCATGATTTCACAAAGCTGGCCTCCTTAGTAGCAGATCTCAATCCAACAGAGCACTTTTGGGATTTGGTGAAATTCAAAGCTGAAAAATCTCCATGTGATGCTATGGAACAAAATCTCTAAGGATTGTTTCCAGCACTGTGTTGAGTCTGTTTTATGAAGAGTTAAAGGAGTTCTGAAAGCAGAAAGGGCTCCAACCTGGGACCAGTAAGGTATCTATAAAGTATCCATATACAAACACAAAGACTCCAAAGTAGATATTCATTGTTATTGAATATCTTTTTCAATATCTTATTCATTGTCTTTTTGCACCACCGTTTTTCAGGTGCAAGTGCTCTTTAAAATGTAAACTACGATCAGCATCCACGAGTAAATCGAATTAAAGTATCATTAATGCTTTATTTGCTCTGTCTGTAGCCCCACTCCTGTTAACCAAAAATATGGCATGGGCCGTGTTCAAGCTTTACCCTTCCATTTCACTGATTTATACTTGGTGGTTAATGGTCTCAGTGTCATACTATGTCAAACTGGTTGCACTTTTCAATAAAACTGTCTAACCTATTAATAAAAAGTTTTTCTAATATGTATTAAAACAGGGGAAGTATAGACACAAATCTGAGGTTGGAAAGATGATGGATACTTCCTGCTTTATCTAACAGTAGGAAAAGTATCCATTTGGAAGCACATACGAGTCAGACGTTTTACAATACCATCAATGGCTTCCTTCACTGTTGCCATACCAGTTTTATTACAGTCAGTCGACGATTTATTCTTACACTTTCTCATAATATTCATTTCTTTTATTGCTCTCAGAACTCTGCCAAAAGAAATCCTGTTGAAATACTGCAGCAATCCCTGGACCATGTATAAGTGATGTCTTTGGAATCAACTCCCCATAAATGCTTCTACTTTGTATCAGTTGGGTTATTGAGTTGCTATGTTCAGTAGCTTCACTGCGTCTTATATGCACCAGTCTTGAAAAAAATTTTTGTTCAACAACAGGAGCAATAAAAAGGAAGGTGGAGCTGGACTGGGGCACTGAAGACTCAGAGTACCTTCAGAAGGTTGAGCTCCACATGGAGGGAACACTGAATGAGGTCTTGCCTGATATCATCGTTTATAATGCAGGGACAGACATCTTGGATGGGGACCCACTTGGGGGACTCTCAATATCACCACAGGTACTGTCACTACTGATTATTTTATACAAGGCTTTCAGAGTAGCATTCATTTGCCATTTTTGAGCAGGCAAATGACAGTCCAGAGGTCTGGATCATCATCAGTGGGGTTTCCACTCATGCAATAAAGGTTTAGCAGCCCAGCAGACCTATAGTCAGGTAAAAAGAAAGTGCTTCTTAATTTGCTTTATGGGTCACCACAGGAGATGAACTTTCTCCATCTCACCCTATCCATATCCAGAGTGTCCCATCACATCCATCCATGCTGTCCTCCTGCACTACATCCATGTATTTTTTGTGGTCTTCCTCTTTTCCTCCTGCCTCGACGCTCCATCTTTAAAATCCTTTATCCAATGTATCCTCTGTCCCTCCGTCACACGTGTTCAAACTGCTCAACCTGAGCTGTCACTCTGATGTACTTATTTCTAACCTTGTCCATCCTGGTCACTCTCAATAAAAATAAAATCTTCAACTCTGTCACCTCGAGCTCAGGCTCCTGTTTTGTTTTGTTTTGTCTGCCAGCTTCTTGCATGATAACCTTTCCAGCTGTCTCCATCTCATTCATCCACATGTATTCTGTCCTGCTTCAGTTCGTCTTTTCTCCAGAGCATACCTGCACCTGTCCGGGCTCTTTATCACCTGCTCTCTACTCTCACCACAGATCACAGTGTCATCTGTCAACATAATTGTCCACTGAGACTCCTGTTTGACCTCATTAGTCAACCTGTACATCACCATCACAAACAACATGGGGTGCAGAGCTGATCCCTGAACCCATATGTGACTCCTACCATATACCTCATCACTGCTGTCCTCAGACATGTCCTGTAACACCCTTACATGCTTCTCTGCCACATCAACACTCTGAAAGTATACATCGCATCTGCAGTGCTCTTTTGCACACTGGTTGTCATTTCTCTTCTAAACCTAACTTCAACTACTCTTTCCAATAGCTTCATGGTATACCTCATCAGCTTTATCTCTCTGTACCTTCTGCACATAACTCTTGTTCATGAAAATAGCTGCCAGTACAGTTCTTCTACTCCTCAGGCATCCTGTCAGTCTCCACAATCACGTTAAAAAGTCTGATAAAAATGTCCAGTGCCCTCTGTCCTCGACATCTGGATCCACTCTTCATATCTGCCCTCACTTCCTCCTTACTAACACTCTACACTTTGTGATTCACTAACTGTCCTCCATCTGTCCTCCTCTCTCTCATATTTTCTATTTTAATGAGTTTCACAAAGTGCTCACACTCTAACACACTCTCTTCAGTCTTTAGTACATTTCCATCTCTGTCCTTAATCACCCTAACAACAACATCATTTCTCTGCCTAATACCTTACCTACCCAACTCCTCCTCATCACCTCTGTTCCCTTCACCTACATGTCCTGTAGGACATATGCACTGACAAT